TATCACATATTTGTAACTGAATGATGCATGAATGGAAACAAAACACAGTATGAACTGAGGAGTGAGTCCCGTGAGTTTCATGTGTTTTCTTCACTCCGCTGGGAAACTCTGCTCTCAAGCATCAGATCAGTGCATGCGCTGCATCGTCCAATCAGTGAGCGATACACAGTAAGGGGGCGGGGCGAGTGTCTGAGGATTTCATCGAAGGATGGTCTGGTGGTTCCTCGGTTATAGCTCCTCCATTATCGCTCCTCGTTTCTCGCTCCTCGGTCCTCCGGCAAAAATAAGGCCATTGGGACGCTACTCAAGATGGCGCAGACAAATCAACTTCCGGTGAGACCGAGACCGAGGAGCGAGGAAATGAAAAATAAGAGAAGTGAAACGCAGCCACAGATGCTCCCTCCATCACAGGAAGCACAGGACTCTCCAGGATCACAGAGCCACCTGAACAACATCAGGATCAAACGTTTAGTCTCATCTGTGGTTATTTGATGAAATGTCATCCTGAAAATACAGTGAATGTAAAATGTGGTGGCATCATACACATACTGAATGAAAATATCAGAAATAAGTAGAACTACATGATCAGTAAATCACAAATTAAATAGTAACATAGAGAAGTGTATCGTCTGCATAGAGATTGATATTGTTTAATTATTTGGTTTTCCTGATTTGATTTGATTTGCTCATTTAATCAAATCAAGTTTTATTTATATAACACATTTTTAAACTATTTTTGGTCGAGCCAAAGTGCTGTACATATAATAAAATACCCTACAGTAAAGACACTTTACAGCAAATACAACAGCACAGTTTGTTCAGAATATCAGTATGAGAAAAAACGACACCCTCTGTCCTTAGACCCTCACATCGTACAAGGAAAAACTTCCGGAGAAAAACCCACATTTCAAAGGGAAAAATGTGAGAAACCTCGGGGAGAGCAACAGAGGAGGGATCCCTCTCCCAGGACGGACAGACGTGCAATAGATGACGTGTGTAAATCAACGAGATAATACGTTTTACAGCGTAGGTAGACCGAATGTTAGGAAATGCATGTGTCTATAATAAGAAGATGAATCCACGAGGATGTCAACAACAATCCTGTGGGAGCCTTCAGGGAAGCAGCATGACGAGACCCAGGCAGGACCGCAGAGACAGGCCCAGCCACGACTCGAAGTCCACGACTTAATCCAGAACTCAGGATAGAGGATCCAGGACACAGGACCACAGCAAGAGGATCAGCCTCCACTCCGGATCCCGGCGTCGATATAGACACAAAAGAAGAAAAATGTGGCTGGGTTAATCGGAACATGAGAATACACAGACACAGACAGACAGAAGGCCTAGGGAGGTGTTCCAGGCAGACTCTCAGAGTCATGTTGAACTCCTCACTTCTCAGAGTGCAGTCACATGACCTGGTTCACCTGCTCACCTGTTTCTTTTTTTTTTTTAATTATAGAATAGGGAGGGATGAAACCCTCTTTAACGGTCACACGTGCAGAGCACACAGCACACACAGTGAAATGTGTTCTCTGCACCTGTTTCCACTTCCCCTCATCAGCCTGCAGAGTGAAACCAGCTCGACTCCTCTCTTTCCTGTCACACTGTTAATGTGTGCCTCTGGAGGGAACTGTTTTAACCTTAGCAGACCATCAACATGCCATAAAATCTATATATCAGGAAAGTGAAAACCCCCAAAAGCAGAATTGGGTATATCTTAAACACAACTTGTGTTTAAATGTGTGGACTTTAATGGCTTACAGTAGAAAAGTTGTGGTTGTTCAAAGAAAATATTTTCAAGTATAACTTCACTGAATAAATGAAATCTAGGGAGATTTCAGTTGAATATATTTGACTGAACATTGATCTGAGTTGAACTGAAAATCCTTTCTGAACAATTTGCTAATCTGACGGAGCGTCTCTCAACTTGCCGAACGAGTCCTGAAAGATAAAAGAAAAACATTCAAGGAAACAATTAAATCTAAATTAATTTACTTAACCATGACATTTAATTTAATGTTTTAAATGTAAAACATATGTTCACGCCGTTATGAGGAACATTTACAGTCCTACCTTCATCACGGGGGCGTAGAGAGGATCCTCTGCTGAGGGTGAGTTTTTAAGTCCTGATTCTGCACAAGAGACGAGTAATTCATGATAATATGCAAGAAATCAAATATAGAATTTTCTTAAATAACTTCATTCAATGTTAATCCCTTGTTATTGTAAAAACAATTACTTGGAAAAACACATACAAGTAACCTTTAGATCCAACATTATCGCTTTAAAAAAGAAAAATGTCAGTATTTTTTATGTTTTCTGTCCAGCACTTTATCATTAGAAGGGTTTAAGAGAAAATGAAAATGTGAGGGAAAAAAGACGGGATGATAAATCAGCTCTTGATGTAGACTTCTCAATAGCAGAACTTAAAATAGCTTTACAAGGTACAGGATACTCAGCACCAGGACAAGATCAGTTATGCTATGCCATGTTCCGGCAGTTACCTGTGGAAACATTGAAATGAGTCCTGAGACTATTTAATCAAATCTGGAGAAATGGAGTTTTACCAAGGAGTTGGAAAACGGCAGTCATATTGCCATTTAATAAGCCAGGGAAGGATCCTGCTAATCCCAGTCACTACAGACCCATAGCACTTACATCACACTTGTGTAAATGGATGGAGAAGATGATAGTGCATATCACACGTCTTAGAACAGAGAGGGTTACTGAGTCATTTTCATGGTTTTCATAAAGGAAGATCCACAATAGATGCTTTGGTTGGAGGAAGCAGTGAGGTGGAAAAGACACTGAAAATGAAAGAGGTTATGGCAATAGTATATTTTGATATTGAAAAGGCGTATGACTCTATGTGGAGGGATGGGTTGCTCATCAAATTGAGTAGAATGGGTGTTGGAGGGAGAATGTATAACTGGATCATGGCTTTTTGATCAGACAGGAAATTCAGAGTCCAAGTAGGGGCAGAGGTTTCAAAAGAGTGCAGTATAGAAAATGGTATTCCTCAAGGGAGTTCAATCAGCCCGATATTATTTAACATTATGATAAATGACATTTTTAGTGATTTGGATGGATGCATAAGATCTGCGCTATATGCAGATGACGGGGCCATATGGATACGGGGAAGAAATGTTCCATATGTGTTTGAGAAGATAGGGAAAGCTATAAAGAAAGTGGTCATACAACTGGGGTTTCAAGCTGTCAGCAAGCACATCTTGCGTCATGAAATGTACAAATAAACGTAAGATGGAGACTGAGAAGCTTACATTATATGGAAAGCCGATGAATGAGGTCAATGAATTTAAATATCTGGGGCTATATAGTAAATGTACATGGAAAACTCATATTAAACATTTGGAAACAAAATCCCAAAAAGTGTTGAACCTATTAAGAGCAGTGGCTGGATGTGACTGGGGGGCAGACAGACAGGCATTAATCGACATCTATAGGGCAGTTATGAGACAACTCTGGATTACGGGTGTATAATATATGCAGCAGCAGCAAAAACGTCATTACTAAAAATGGATAGGTTACAATACAAAGCGTTACGGTTGTGTATAGGTGCAATTAAGTCAACCCCTACTAATGCAATACTAGTTGAAGCAGGAGAGACTCCATTGGAGCTAAGGAGAGAGAAACTTGCTCTTGCTTATTGGGTCAGGTTAAAAGGAAGTGGGGAAGGAAATGTCACAAACAAAACATTACAGGAGTGCTGGGAATATTCCAAGTTCCAGGGGCGTGGGTTTGGATGGACAAGTAAAGGAAAAATAAGGACATACGGCATGAGTTAGAGTTTTCACCATCAAACCCATTCAGTAGTGTTCCCCCATGGCTCTTTCCAATAGCAAATATAGATGTGAGTATTGTAGAAAAGAAAAGAGAGTGGCAAATAAATGAAGTAGGATTCAAAACAAGTTTGTACCTCAGGAGTAATTATCACAATTACCTCAAAATGTACACAGATGGTTCTAAGAACAAGGAAGAGTGTGTTGGAGTTGGTATATATGTCCTAGACTTTAAAATATCGATCTCAAAAAGAGCGTCAGATCAACTATCAGTGTACACAGCAGAAATGCTGGCAGTAATAATAGGATTACAGTGGGTTGAAGAGGTCAGACCAGATAGGGTGGTGATATGCACAGATTAATTGTTCCTTTTAAAAAGCATACAGTCAACAACAACTGCCAGAGAAGACATTCTCATAGAACTGAACCACAGCCTGTTAAGACTTCACAGAGGCGGCATAGATCTGCAGTTCTGCTGGGTGCCTGCTCATGAGGGGGTGAAAGGGAACGAGTGTGCTCATGAGGGGGTGAAAGGGAACGAGTGTGCTCATGAGGGGGTGAAAGGGAACGAGTGTGCTCATGAGGGGGTGAAAGGGAACGAGTGTGCTCATGAGGGGGTGAAAGGGAACGAGTGTGCTCATGAGGGGGTGAAAGGGAACGAGTGTGCTCATGAGGGGGTGAAAGGGAACGAGTGTGCTGATAGATGAGCAAAAAGTGCACTACTAAAGGAAATCACATTACCAGTTCAACTTGGAGAAGGAGAAGGAAAAGCAGTCATTAAGAAGAAAGGGATGGAGATCTGGCAGAAAAGGTGGGAGGAAGACCAGAAAGGCAAAGAGTATCATAAAGTTCAACAGACAATCACAATTAATATTTATAAAGAAAGAAACAGAAGGGAGGAAATCATGATAGCTAGACTCAGAATAAATCACACAGCATTGAATGGTACGCTGTATGTCATGGGGAAAAGTGACAGTGACAAATCTGGGAACTGTGGAGTTAGGGGAAATAATCTAACAGTAGGTTAGAATAGATCATGGTTTCTTAGTTTTATGTTTTCGATATGCTGGTTTATTAGAGGGATGACATGATGATACACACTCGTGTACAGTAGGTGGCGGTATGCAACCAAAAGCTGTTTGCGACCCGCCATTAAAAAGAGAAGAAGAAGAGCTGCACCTGGGCAGCTGCTCGCCATCGCGTTTCGGGAGGCCCTCTCTCATTTCTCTCGCACACTCCCCCATGTGAGCCTCGCCCTGCGGCTGTTTACTTTTGTGTCCACTAATAAAGGATCGTTATATTTCCTCATCTCGCCTCCCAGCTTTTTGTTACAGCGCAAGAGCCGGGTTGTAACATATGGGGGCTCGTTGGTTTTGAACCTGGTCAATTCGGAGGTAGTTTTTCGCAAATAGAGTCCGTTGTTGTGTAACTGAGAGGAACTTAACACACAGCTGTAGCGGGTTGCGTGCAGTGGGCCGTGATGGAGCGCACAGCTTATTGTTTGGGAGTAGCCATGAAGAGGGTAAGTGTTGTCGTGGGACTTAGAAGGCAGCTGTTTGTTTGTGAATGAGAGTTAAGGGTAACGCACTGAGTATGTATTCACGGCAGTCACGTTGGTCTTGTCCCTGTTAGGCTTCAGTACGGTCTCCCTTTGGAGGCTGTTGGTGTGAACTTGGTTGGAGCTATTATCTCGGGAGCACGCCGAGGCAGCAGGTGGAGTTGCCCGTTTGCTGGTCGCTTCGCCGGGTTTACGGTAGTAAGTGCGTAAATACCCGCCGTAATTAGCACCTGAAGACTAGGGGGGAGTTTAGCTAGTTTCTGTTAGGCAGTTAGAGGGACGGGCGGGCCGCGGTGGCGTGTAGGCTGTGTAAGTAGCGAACGTGCCACGCAGTGTTGTCATGATGGAGTGTAGCGAATTTTTGAGAGCGCCTTCAGAGGAGCTGCTGGAGGGTTTCTCACGTGAGCAGCTGATCTGTGTTGCCGAACATTTCCACTTGGATGTTGGGGATAAAAGCAGGGCCGGTGTTGTGTCAAATTATGCACCCCCGTCGTGAAATGCACCCCTTGACACGGGAACGCGCATTTGAACGTATAGTCCGCTATTCTATGTTGTCTTTTTGATCCTGGATTTTGCTTTCATTCGTCACTTATTTTTCAGTACATTTTTTATTTAATATATGTTTTTATTTAATTGTGACGTCCTGTCTGTATACTTGTGCTTTACAATGTATTGTTTATTTGTAGGACTATTAAAAAGAGAAGAAGAAGAAGAAGAGCTGCACCTGGGCAGCTGCTAGCCATCGCGTTTCGGGAGCCCCTCTCTCATTTCTCTCGCACTCTCTCGTGTGAGCCTCGTGCCGCGGCTGTTTACTTTTATGTCCACTAATAAAGGATCGTTATATTTCCATACCCCTCGCCTCCCAGCTTGTTGTTACAGCCCAAGAGCCGGGTTGTAACACTTGGTTTTATTTATTTCTGTTCAAGCTGTAGAACTGTTCTCAACTGTAGTCGAAAAATCGGGGGGAAAAAATCACAAAATCAGACCCCTTGATACTTGATATGTGTCATGTTGAGTCACATTCTCCAATAAACATGTTCCTGATCTCTGCCTCTCTGTATTTCAGTTAAAACGGCTGCTGGTGTCCAGACAGAAGTTTGAGGAGGAGAAGAAGAGGGAGGAAGCTGAGAAGAAAGTTCACATCCTGGAGGAGACGCTGCAGAAAAAGGTTTGTGGTCTCCTCTGAAAGTCCTTCACACACAGCATGAGATCCTGCAGTGACTCATGTTCAGGATCAACTAGACCTTCAACGCCCTTTAGAAGAGATTCCTGCTGCTTCAAATATCTGTCAGCTTCATTCACAGACACAGTTTGCAGGAAGACGGATGTGAAGCACGCAGTCGGTTTAAAGTGTTTCCTAGAATTTCTTTTTTTACGAAAACCGTGTTTTTTTAATTTTCTGTGTTACACAGATCTTTTGCTGAGGCCAAAGTGATAAAAGTAACCAAAGAGAATTTGAGACACCAAACAACTCAAACTGTACTCAAATGCCACTGTGAAGCAGATCAATTATTTATTGTCCTGTGAGAGAAAATGTGATGCAGAGCAGGAACTAGCTTTCACCCAGACAAGGATATAATGTTGAATTAGTTCAAAAGTCAAATGTAAAAGTTGAAATGTCTGTATCTCTCTTTATCTTGCAGGTTCTGCCGGTCCCAGAGGAGAAGACCAGCAGAGAGGAAGCTGAGAAAGACCTGAAGCTCACAGTTCCTCTCAGTGCTTCATCTCCTTCATGTGGTGTCTCAGAGGGGAACCAACAACCCCATGAGAAGAAGCAGAGGGGAAAGAAAGCTTGGGGATTTGCAAAGAAGGTGGTGGACAACTTAATTCAAATCTTTATTTCATCTTCTCCAAAAAACATTGATTCTTCAAGAGGCTAAAGTGATCAAACTAACTTTGAGAGATAATCTGAGACACCGAATGAGAAAGAAGTGAAGGACCAAAAAGATGCGTTGTTTATATTGTTTTTTTCACACACTTAGTTTAATCTTCTTTACAAGTAGTTGATATTTTAGAAGACAACTCAAACTAGACATGAAAACACACTGAGACACCAAATGAGATGGATCACAACGTGTCACAGGGATCAAACAGCTGAGTTCAAAGATGATGGATGACTCTTTTCTGTACCACTTTACAATAAGACTACCCTTATAAAGGGTTTACGAATAGTTTGTAATTCATTTATTAATTAGGTTGTGAACACTTTATAAGTAATTAATAAGATTTTATAAGACATGACATAAACAGGGCAACTGTGACCGGTTGCTTGCCAAATAGTGAGCCCACATTTATCTGTACTGCTAAGCCTTATATTGGCTACCTAGTTTACGTCTTCTTCATCAGCCAGCATCCTTGGTATCTGTTGCTCACTGAGTTGATTCTCGCTAAGTAGCCAATATAATGCTTAGTCATCTTGCCAAATAGTGAGCCTGTGTTGACGTATGAAAACTATGTATGAACTGGTTTATAAATGGTTCTTAATGATTAATAAATTGCTTACAACCTAATTAATAAGCTAATTATAAACCCTTTAGTCTTATTGTAAAGTGGTTCTGTGTTTTCTCCCCCTTAGTTTCAGGCAGGAGGATGTGAAGAGTTTTATAATTCTCAATCTGTGGAACTACACCGCAGCCGCGCCGTGTTTAACCACACGCGACCCCCTCGTACAGGATTGAATATTGAGGTCCGCCAACAGGGCATCTGTATCCGTCTCAAAAACATTACAACTGAGGTAATGTCGTGTGGATGATCTCTATACGAGTGCTTTATGAGAGTGAATACTATCATTTACTCCAAATGAGCTGTTTCATTCTTCTTCTTCTAACTCTCATAATGACCTGTTTAACTTTAAGAACCCCTTTTCTCTTGTTTTTGTGTAATTTGTTGTCAGTCTTTCTGTCTCTCATCCTCCCTCCCCTTATTTAACTTCCTTCAGGACAATCATCTGGGAGGCTTGGAGTTACATCAGCAGGTTAACGACAACAAAACCTGCATGTACACATTTGATCAATCTTTCAAACTCAAGGCTGGAAGATGTGTCACTGTGAGTCTTTCTTGTTTTCTCACTTTACGCTGTTGCATTTTCCCTGCATTCATTTATTTTAGTGAATGATTCTGCTTGTAAGTCTGTGATTTTGTATTATTCAGATGTGGGCAGCGGGTTATGGTCCCAATCGTTCTAACACTGAGCTGGAGTGGAAGGATCTGAAGCCCTGGAAGACCGGAGACAGAGTGTGGTTCACCCTCGATTCATTCTGGATGTACTGACATATTTTAACTACCCTCTTTTCTGCTCTTATTGTGCTTATCTTATCAACGTCTGCTCACTTTCTTCCTAGCAAAAACTAGCTGGAGTTATTTTTGAACTTGTCCCCGTTTTGTGAAGAAGATGTGTGAAGTGACGGAGCAGATTTATCAGCAGATTAACAGCAAAAAGACATGAGAGAAAGTTACAACATTATAAAATATCTGAACATTATTCACAGGAACAGGAAGACTCAGACGGTGTATATTGCCAAAAATATAATTCACTATTCAAGTCTATGTAGTTAAGATGTAAACATTTGTTTTATTTTTGTATTTACATGATGCTGATGTACAATTTTGATACTTGCTTACGGCCATGTTAACTTTCAAATATGTTTTTAATGTCCCGTGAGAGATAATGTTTAATTTTAAGGTGATATGTTTTAATTATATTTCTGCCATCTGGTTCTGGGACGGGCTCCAAAAACACTTTGTTTTAGTTTCACTGAAGATGACGAAATGGGGTTTAGTATTCTCTCTTTCTCTCATTTGTATTACGGCTCTTGGTGTTATGATGTACTTTAGAATTTAAATCAATTCAAACGGATGATTTTTGATCTTATAAATGCAATTAATGTTTTTAATATCTGCAGTGTTTTAGTCAACTGACTTTTAATTTATAAAGATACAATAAAATGTAATTTATTCCTGCATATAAATGACTACTACTATATCTAATATTAATAGTAACAATATGTTATTCATCTAAACATGATATATTTAATTATTTGTATTATTAAAAATATTCAACTTATAACTTACTATATGTTGGTATAATTATTAATCTTTTCAAATCTTTACTCCACACTTTTAATTCTTATGTTTAAATAAAAATCTTTATTTAATTGTTTATATTTGTATTGCGCATTCTTAATTTAACTTACTTTATCCCAAACTTTTTTCTTTAGGTTTTTAATTTAATTCAATTTCACGTATTTCGATATTGATAAATTCACACATTTGCTTTTAACCATTTCAGTTTAACTTGAACAGTTTTTCCCTCTTTTCACATAGATAGATATATACATATATATATATTAATCCTTTATAATACATATAAAGATATGAGCAACCAGTTCAAAAGGACTGAAACAATTCTTTCTAGGAACAATAAATAAGCAAATAAAAAATACATAATCAAAATGTCATGACCGAAAGAAGGAGATCGCGGATACAAGCGGCCGAGATGGGTTTTCTCCGCAGGGTGGCTGGTGTCTCCCTTAGGGAGAAGGTGAGGAGTTCAGTCCTCCGGGAGGGACTCGGAGTTGAACCGCTCCTCCTTCGCGTCGAAAGGAGCCAGTTGAGGTGGTTCGGGCACCTAGTAAGGATGCCACCTGGGCGCCTACCTAGCAGGGCCAAATTCACCATATACATTGGGGGGGACACATCCCCCCCAATATTCAGATACGCTCAAAATGTCCCCCCCAATATATAGCCTAACTAGTATCTTTTTCTAGTTAGCCCTAAAGTAATCTATATTATTTTATTTCGTAATGGTAATGTTAATGATCCCTCCGGTTTAGCTTCTTTGTGTAAATAACTGTTGTGCACCGACAGAAATGCTAGAGAGATGCATGTTATTTACGTTTGCTTTCTCTCATTCCAGGCTTCCTGATTATTTTCACCTGTGTCTCCTGTGCTCATCAATGTCAGCCCCGCCCCTGATTGGTCCCACCTGTGTCTAGTTACCCTGTGCTTATATTCCCCTGTCTCCCAAGTGTTCTTTGTCAGTTCGTATTGTCTCTTGCTATGGTCAGGTCTATGCTCTTTGTACTCTTGTAAAGTTTGATTCCTCACTACGTGAGCGCTTTCATTTTGTTCCTCTATTTTTGTCATCTCGGTTAGAGATTTGATAGTTACCTTTTTTGTTGTTCATTGCTGTATTTTGGAAAATAAAGTATCTTACTAATACTTTACCTCTGTCTCCCGGGTCGTGCAATTGGGTCCTACATCCTAAGTGTCTGAGTTCGTAACAGAACGAACTGACCATTATGGACCCAGCCGACCCAAGAACGCTTCACGCAGCGCTGTCAGCACAGGGCGTGAAGATCTTTCATCACGAGGAACAGCTGGGCCTAGTCAACCAGGAAATGCAAGAACTAAGAGGACGCCAGGCCGGGATTCAGGAAGCATTATCCACACAGATGCAACAACTGGCTGTCCAAATGAATCATTTTTTCACTCACCAACAGACTGCTCCTCCGGTGACGTCATCCACAACTGAGAGGTTGCCTGTCAATGCTCCAGCTGATTTCCCAAGTCAGGCTGTTTCTTCCCCTTTACGGCTGGCTCTTCCGGAGAGATTTTCCGGAGATTCTTCTAATTGCAGAGCCTTTTTGGTACAGTGCGATCTGCATTTTCCACACAACCCAGGAGCCTTTTCATCGGACCATGGTAAAGTGGCGTTTATTGTGTCTCATTTAACGGGAAGAGCTGCAGCCTGGGCTACTGCAGAATGGTCAAGAGAAACTGAACTATGTTACTCATTGACCGATTTCATAGAGACTATGAGTCGTATTTTTGACCACTCATCGCCTGCTACAGAGGCCAGCAGAAAACTTTTTCATATACGCCAGCTCAACCGCCAGGTGGTTGATTACGCCATCGAGTTTCGCACAGCAGCAGCGGACAGCGGATGGAATGTTCCGGCTCTTCGTGACGCCTTCATGACGGGACTTTCGGAACCGATAAAAGACCAGCTGGCTCCACTGGAGACACCCCGGGATCTGGAATCTCTCATCGCCGTGGCCATCCGGATCGATAACCGTCTTCGGGAAAGAGAGAGGGAGCGTCGACGCAACCGAGACGTTATTCCCAGCTCCCAGAATGCATCTTGGTGGGTCGCGCCGCCAGCCGAGGATGTCCAGCCCATGTTACCACACCGTCAGAGGATTACACTTCCGAATGACTCCGGGGAACCCATGCAGCTGGGAAGAACCAGGCTTTCTCTGGAGGAGAGGCAGCGCCGTCTACGGGAGGGTTGTTGTTTCTACTGCGGCCAGTCGGATCATCAACTCGCTTCATGCCCGGGAAAAGATCGTGCTCACCAGTCAAAAGGAGGGCGCTGGTGAGCAAGTTTCCCGCAGACTTTCCTCCTCGACCTGTTACGCAGGTAAACATTTGTATTAACAATCAAACCATTGACCAGGGTGTGTTAATAGACTCAGGGGCTGACGAAAGTCTTATGGACTGGGGCGTAGTAAATCAGCTAGAAATAAAGACTGTTCCGCTATCTCATCCTATTAATGCCAGTGCCTTAGACGGCCGCTTGTTGTTCACAGTCACCCATTGCACTGAGCCCATTCAGATTACTGTGAATAAGGACCATACCGAGAGCATGCAATTCCATATTTTTGAGTCGGCTCAGCACCCGATTATTTTGGGGTTTCCATGGCTAAAGATCCACAATCCTCACATTGACTGGCGTTCAGGGAAAATTAAGGAATGGGGAGAGGATTGTATGGGCAGGTGTAAACTTTCACAACCTGTTAATGCACCAACAGACTCTCGTAAAATCATTATAGATCACCCCGACTATCCTGATCTACAGAAGGTACCTTCCTGTTACCATGATTTAAAGGAAGCCTTTAACAAATCCAAAGCCATGTCGCTACCTCCTCACCGAGATTTTGACTGTCCCATTGATCTCTTACCGGGAGCCCCCATTCCCAAGGGGAAACTTTATTCGATTTCGAGACCTGAGAGAGCAGCAATGGACGAATACATTTCCTCTTCACTCAAATCAGGAATTATCCGTCCTTCATCTTCTCCAGCCGGAGCGGGATTTTTCTTTGTGGGAAAGAAAGACGGGTCTCTGAGACCTTGCATAGACTACAGTCCACTAAATGACATTACGGTGAAGAACCGCTATCCTCTGCCACTCATGACATCTGCCTTTGAACTACTTCAAACTGCCAAAATATTCACCAAGTTAGATTTAAGAAATGCATATCACTTGGTTAGAATAAGAAAAGGGGATGAGTGGAAGACAGGATTCAACACTCAGAGTGGTCACTATGAGTATCTAGTAATGCCCTTTGGACTATGCAATGCACCGGCTGTGTTTCAAGCTCTTGTGAATGAGGTTTTACGGGAATTTTTGAATATTTCAGTGTTTGTGTATCTGGATGATATTCTGATTTTCTCCCCAGACACTAAGTCTCATGTTAACCATGTCCGTCAGGTTTTGCAGAAACTGCTAGAGAATCAGTTGTATGTCAAGGCAGAGAAGTGTGAGTTCCACACAAAAGAGGTATCCTTCTTAGGATACATAATCTCACCTAATCATATGCAAATGGATCTGGCTAAAATCAGTGCAGTATCCCAGTGGCCTACACCAGACTCCAGGAAGAAGGTCCAACAGTTTCTAGGGTTTGCTAACTTCTATAGGAAGTTTATTAGGAATTTCAGTTCTGTTGCTGCCCCTCTACATGTTCTGACTTCTCCTAAGGTTCCTTTCAAGTGGACTCCCCAGGCGGACTTCGCTTTCCAACGTCTCAGAGAGAGATTCACATCAGCCCCCATACTCACCATTCCAGATCCCCAGCGCCAGTTTATGGTCGAGGTTGATGCTTCCAATGAGGGAATTGGAGGAGTACTGTCTCAACGTTCTGCAGAAGACAACAAGATGCATCCATGTGCTTACCTGTCGCGGAAACTGACAACGGCAGAGCGGAATTACGACGTGGGGAACAAGGAACTGTTAGCTGTAAAAGCTGCCCTCGAGGAATGGAGACACTGGTTAGAGGGTGCAGAGCAGCCGTTTTTAGTCTGGACAGATCACAAGAATCTGGAATATATAAGGAAGGCTAAGCGTCTCAACTCCCGTCAGGCCAGGTGGACACTATTCTTTAGTAGGTTCAATTTCACCCTCTCTTTTCGTCCCGGGTCTCAGAATCAAAAACCCGATGCTTTGTCTCGTCTTTATGATCCGGAACCACTTGCGGTAGAGCCCAAGACCATCCTTCCACTTAACCGTGTGATCGGAGCCTTTTCCTGGCAAGTGGAGTCGGACGTAAAAAAGGCGAATGTCAAGAATCCAGCACCTAGCGAGTGTCCCAACAATCTGCTGTTTGTTCCTGAGGCTCTTCACTCCAAGGTCATCCACTGGGCTCACTCATCTGTGCTTTCGTGCCATCCGGGGGTAACAAGGACAATGTTCAGGATACAACAACGTTTCTGGTGGCCAGCCATGAAGAAAGATGTGGCAGAGTACGTAGCGGCTTGTCCGGTGTGTGCGTGTAATAAGACCTCATCACAAGTCAAGATGGGCTTGCTCCAGCCCCTGCCGATTCCCCAACGTCCTTGGTCACACATTTCAATGGATTTTGTGACAGGATTTCCTTCATCCAGAGGCAAGACTACGGTCCTAACAGTGGTGGATCGATTTTCAAAGATGGCTCACTTCATCCCATTGACCAAGCTTCCCTCTGCCAAAGTCACCGCAGAGGTCATGATGAATCACATATTCAGGATCCATGGATTCCCTGATGACATTGTTTCCGACAGGGGTCCACAATTCATTTCCGTTTTCTGGAAGGAGTTTTGTCGACTCATAGGTGCCACCGTCAGCTTGTCATCAGGATATCATCCTCAGTCAAATGGACAGTCGGAGCGTCTGAACCAGGAACTAGAGACTACGCTACGTTGTCTCGTCTCCCGGAACCAGACTACCTGGAGTGACCACCTCACATGGGTCGAGTTTGCCCACAATACTCTTCCTACGGCAGCCACAGGTCTCTCTCCATTCCATTGTGTCAATGGTTTCCAGCCTCCATTTTTCCCTAACAACGAGGAAGAGGTGAGGGTTCCATCGGCTCATGCCATGATCAGACGTTGTCGACGAGTTTGGGCTGGTGCTCGCCAGGCTCTTCTCCGAAGTTCAGCTCGGATGAAGGCTGTTGCAGACGTCCATCGCAGGGTCGCTCCCTCCTACAGACCAGGCCAAAATGTTTGGCTTTCCACTAAGGACTTACCACTCCATGTCGCCTCAAAGAAACTGGCTCCGAGATTTGTGGGTCCTTTCCCGGTGTCCAGAGTCATCAACCCGGTGTCTGTACGCTTGCAACTCCCCAGAACTATGAGAGTACATCCGACGTTTCACGTCAGTAAAATCAAGCCGGTGTGCGAGAGCACACTTGTTCCCGCCTCCAAGCCCCCTCCACCGCCCGAGTTCTTTGAAGGGGGTGAGGTTTACAAGGTCTGTAAGCTACTGGAGGTCCGTAATAGGGGGAGGGGGAAGCAATTCCTGGTAGACTGGAAGGGTTACGGTCCTGAGGCTAGAAGCTGGGTAGCTGCGTCATTTATCGTAGACAAGACGCTTATCCACGATTTTTACAATCAGCCTGGGCCATCAGGAGTTGGCCCTAGAGGGGGGGGTACTGTTGTGCACCGACAGAAATGCTAGAGAGATGCATGTTATTTACGTTTGCTTTCTCTCATTCCAGGCTTCCTGATTATTTTCACCTGTGTCTCCTGTGCTCATCAATGTCAGCCCCGCCCCTGATTGGTCCCACCTGTGTCTAGTTACCCTGTGCTTATATTCCCCTGTCTCCCAAGTGTTCTTTGTCAGTTCGTATTGTCTCTTGCTATGGTCAGGTCTATGCTCTTTGTACTCTTGTAAAGTTTGATTCCTCACTACGTGAGCGCTTTCATTTTGTTCCTCTATTTTTGTCATCTCGGTTAGAGATTTGATAGTTACCTTTTTTGTTGTTCATTGCTGTATTTTGGAAAATAAAGTATCTTACTAATACTTTACCTCTGTCTCCCGGGTCGTGCAATTGGGTCCTACATCCTAAGTGTCTGAGTTCGTAACAATAACTTGTAGTTCTGATGTTAAAACCGAAGTTTTCAGGAATAGTAGCTAGGGGAGTGATTTGTAAAATATGTATAAAGAAAAAGTAAATCCGTTTACAGTTCTGTTTCATATGGATGTTGAGATGTATCAATAGATTTAGTCCCTAATGTTGCTCTCAAAGTGCACCAGATTGATGCTTTTAACTTCAACATTTTAAAAAAAAGGTTTTAAAGTATCCCATATGTTAGTGAATTTTTATATATGTTCCTTTAGAATAGCAGGAAATTAGTATTCAAATTTTGATTGAATTTTTGGTCCCCCCCAATGTTGACTCCATGGTTACGGCCTTGCTCCCTAGGGAGGTGTTCCAGGCACGTCCAGCTGGGAGGAGACCGAGGGGTAGACCTAGGACCAGGTGGAGGGATTATATCTCTTGGCTGGCCTGGGAGCGCCTTGGGATCCCCCAGTCAGAGCTGGTTGATGAGGGGAGAGGAACGTTTGGGGCTCTCTGCTGGAACTGATACCTCCGTGACCCGACCACGGAGAAGCGGGAGAAGATGGATGGATGGACAATGAAAAATAGAGTAAATAGGAAACGAAAAAGCACATGGTTTGCGGAGGAAATCCCAAATGACTCAATAATAAAATCAATCCGCTCTTTATTTCCTCTTTTCAGTTCACTTTTTGGCGAGATTACCAAGAAATGATTCACACATGTCGACCAGCTGATGAGATTACAATATGAGAAGAAACAAACCCTGATATTAACGTATTTAATAAATAAAGTGAACGTTGAATGATGCTTCCAGAATGTTAAAAGTTTATATTTGAAAGGTGACTCTAAGAGCAGGTGTAACATTAACATTTGGGGGATTTTTTATTATATAATTTATCTAAGCTCTGTAATAATGCAGTCCATTAACAGTTGCACTTTTCACCACATACATACAAACAAGTAAAAGATAACATGGATTAAATACTATTTAACTGAGTGAGGTTTTTAATACCTGTTCTTCCATATATTTACAGATTAGCTTTGTAAGAATTTTATTATTTATTGAGTGAGTTACTAAAATAAACAAATAGAAACAATATTTTAAGTTTTTTATTTTCAACTGATTTGTTTGTATAGTTAGTAAAACAAAATCATAAATATATATTAATGTTTGTTGAGTTTTGTATATATTTGGATATATAGAGGGAACTAGAGGTTGAATACTAACTTCTTCAAATTAAAAATATGAATATTTTCACATAATTTTCTTGTATTATATTATTTTTGGCTGATTTGTGTTTGAATATCCTCAATCCCCCAAAAATACATTTCCACTGATGATCTAGTGCATGTTAGGTGTTAAAGGAATAAAATACAATTCCATATAATTGTTAACACAAGAGGACATCAACCTGATTGCCCAAGACTTGGGAAAGAGAACCTTGGCCGGTGCAAAGGTCCTGCCCTCTGAGGCCAGAGGGAGACTCTGGGGATATAAAGGAGGGTTTTATTCCACCTCAGCTCTCTGTGACGGCACCGTTTGTTGTTTAGGCTCCAACAAAGGTAAGAATACTTTTATTTGTTATTAAGTTTATTAAAATACTTATATATGATCTGCAAGATGTGTCTTAGATTAATGTATAAAGATTACACACCCTAGATTGGAAGTAACCAGACCCTGAAGGGAGAGTTGGTGTAAATATAATAGAAAATAAAATATTAAAAGCTTTATTGAAAACATAAATATATATATATATGAGGAGGAATATGAAAACATCAAATGTATAAAACAAGATAAACAGAGGAAAACATAATAAGCCAATATATGCTTTTAAATATATATATAATATAAATGTGTTTAATGTTATAACGTTTTAATTTAAGTTTATACAAATATATATTGCTTTTACAATCTGGTGATAAATAGATGGGATGATCGGAGACAGCAGAGAGCACACACACACACACACACACACACACACACACACACACACACACACACACACACACACACACACACACACTGCGGCTGAAAGATCCTTGGTGTGTTTCTTAATAACTGTAAATGGTGTTTGTCTCGTCACTTTACAAGATGAAATACTGTACATGTTTGTCAGGATTTAATGATGTCTGCCTCCTTTAGTTTCTGTTTCCCTTCTTCAGAAAGCTGAACTGAGATGGATCCTCAGACAGTGAAGTGGAAATCCTGTGAGTATTCTTTTGCAGCAATATTGTGTTTTACTCTATTTTTAAATGACAAAAATATCAGAGACAGACATCTTTGGAAATTCCCTAAAATGATGTCTGTTGAGAGTTTTTCATGCAGATGTTGCTGCGGCCACTTGTTCTGCTTTCTAAGTTCATGGTTTCAGTTATCATTCATCACCGCATGATGAAAAATAAGGATTTAACAGGAAGTATTTTACAGGTCACATGCCGTGTTAAAGGTCCCATGTCATGCTTTTCCAGTCCCCTTGTGTGTTCTGTAGCTTCTGCATGTAAACGGTCTGCAGAGTCACAAACCCTCAAAGTACACCCTGTAGCGAGTAAAACTCTGACACAGAGAAGACCTGTCTATGCTGCCCCAGAACGCCTCGTTGGAGATTTCTCTTTTTATTCCTGGGTACAGTGACGTGCCCATATCCACATGGACCAATCCGTGGAGCCGTTACGTTAAATCCGCGGACTTCCTCACACACACACACTCAATCTTTTCTCAGCTGCAGCTCCGCCGATTTCTCCTCCCTGAGACGGCGGGACGCGGCGAGGCTGTGAGTCGGTGTGTGAGCACACACACAAACTCCCAGACAGGCTGCGGGTGTGGGTGTGTGTTCGGGCTGGGTTTTGCTGTGTCTCGCTGTCTCGCAGACGGCCACTGGGCTCACAGGGAGGGGGGGGGGGCAGGAGCTCCAACAAGCCGTGTAGGACAGAGAGTGAATACACATACTATACAGAGATGCTGTATGAGAAACCAATGTGAGTTTGGAACATTGCACAATATACATTTATTCTAGAAGACCTCATGGAATTATGATCAGTAGAAATGGCCATGACATGGGACTTTTAAAAGAAGTGAGAATATAAACCCACTAGGTTTAACTGCAAGTCATTAAAAAAAAAGAATTAGGTTTTGTTTTGGGTTTTTTGTCAATTTTCTTAATGTTTTTTTCTACGTAGACTTCACTTTTTATTGACTGTTTAAATAAATAACATGTATTCAGGCTTTTGCCATATTGTATCCCCCTTAAAAAAGGAAATCATCAGAATAATGATCAATAAAAAGTATTTTTGTTAATTAAATCGACCTTCTTAATTTTTTTTGTAGTTTGTGTTAATTATTTTTGCCATATTTTATAACGCTGAATTAACCCTAATTTTCTAAGAGTCTTTTTCGTTTTTAAGACTTTTTTAATCTCTTATTTGATGTACTGTAAATCACTTTGAATTTCCATGTTGCTAAAATAATCTTTATGAAATGTAATCGACTTTCTTTAAGGTTTCTTTGTGCACTTTTTCTCAATATTTTTACCATATCTTATAACCCAAAAAAAAACTTTAAAAAATCTGAATTTGAATTGATACATCTGAGTCTTTTTTGTTTATTAAATTACTGTTATTTCATTCTTTTTTGCCATATTTTATACACCTGTTCTTTGTTTAATAAATCATTAATCAAATTAAATAAATGTTTCTTTTGCACTAAATTCTTATTTATTTTTTGTGAAGCACCAAGGGAAGCACAGAGTCACAATTTAAAATGTCCCTCTCTCCATTGACTCCCCTTCACCCCCTGAATAATAATATCTGTGTTTCCAGGTGTCGTCCGGCTGCTGCTGCTCACTCTGTGTCTCAGAAACACATCATCAGCAGCTGGGAGTGTGGAGGAACATCTGAAGAAAACTCTGGAGGACTGTCTGAAGGACAAAGACTACGAGGATCTCCTGAACACGGTGCAGAGCGGCCTTCCTCACATCCACCCCTCCCATCACGTGGTCATCGTCGGGGCCGGTGCTGCAGGACTCACGGCTGCAAAGCTGCTGCAGGACGCCGGGCACCAGGTGCACGCTCTAAATACACTTTATAAACTATTTATCATGATCTAAAGACTCTAACATAGGATTTAAGAAATGAAGTTGCTTTATAAAACAAATTGTTATGATTGAAATGCTCTACAATTAAATTAAAGTAGTGAAAGTTGCTTTATAAAACAACTTCTCAACATCTAAAGGCTCTAAAATGAAATTAAAGTTGCTTTTAAAACCGTTTCTAATGATTCAAAGCTTTTATTGTCAGATGCAGAAGGGAAATCCCAAGTCTCTTTAAAGAGAATCAGGAATGTAATCATGTTTAAATGTGTTGTGCAAGGTAACTATAGTAGAGTCCAGTGGGCGTATTGGAGGCCGAGTGGAGACCTACAGGAGCGAGGAGGAGGGATGGTTCGCTGAGCTGGGAGCCATGAGGATCCCCAAATCTCACAGGTGAGTTCAGACAAGACAAGTTTGAAGAAATAAATCTTATTTGCCTTAAAGGTCTCCTCTTAACCTGTTTAGCCCTGAGCCTGTTTTTCAGGTCTCAGGCTCGAAAATGACATTCCCAGAACAAATGACCATATCTTCCCTTCTAAAAGGGTTAAATTAATAATCTTTTTTCTCAAAGTAATGATAAGCCTGTGAGTTGGATGTAGAAAAGTCAGAATCAATATAGATGTTTTTATTTTAAAGAAAATTCAGATTTTACATAGTAAAAAACTGTAAATGATAGTGTCCGTCCAAAAATTCTTTTGTACTTATAGTGAAAACTACCCTTGCATGATGGGTTAGTAGACTAAAAGCTTTAGGAATCCAAAGTACAACATATAATAAGTACCCTGTATCAAGATTGATGCAAAACAAGTGACATTTTACCTTTTTAGAGAGATTTAGCCAAAAACACTCCACCTCTGAGGTGATTTGGGTGGAAATGTTTTTTTTTTTCATATCTCTGGCCCCCCTTTGTCAATTTTGATGGTTGACACCTCTTTTGCGGCTTTCACACCAGCGCTTTTCCCTTTCTAGCTCCGAGCTAGAGCTTTACTGGTTCAGCTCCGGTTTCCCTTTTCTGCTCCTGCTATGTTCACACCACTCAGAGCTGGGATGGTGCTGCCGCTGCTGCATCATGACGTCACCGTTTACATCGCTTATTTTCTCCCCAACGGTGCTCACAACAACAACAACGGGGGACTGCGTCGGGTCGATGATCGTGTTGCTTTTAATCATACGAAGCCAGATTAAATTAAATAACGACTTCTCCAACCTTATACTTTTCTCCAGAGTGCCGTGGTTCATTGTTTATTAATGTGTTTCAGCGGCATTTACCGACCGCTGCAGTGCCGGCTGCTCTTCCACGGGAGTTTATTCTCCCGTTAGCTCCGGGTTAGCTCACACGGCTCTAAAGTATTCACTGACTGTCACACAAGCAGCTGATACGTATCCCCAGTTCCCCTTAAGTGAATGTGTGTCAGTCTGAATTGACGCTGTTTGGCATCACAACGCTGTTATGAAAGTGTCTCTGGTATAACATGGGTGATGTTAGCATAGCAACCGAAGCTAAACTGACTACTTGCTAAGCCGTTTTCTACAGGCACATTTTACCGGCGTATTTTTCATTATGATTCTACTTGTGATAGTCGGACATGACAACCTGTGCAGCCCATGTATTGATTCCATCCGATAGCTGCTATAATAACAAACAAAACGTCTGCCTGCTCTCCACAATGATCAATAACAGTGAACGGATGGTCAAAGTAAGGTACAAATAAACAGAATCACACAAAGCCTGGTTAGTGTTGCCTGACTTTATAAGTGTGTGGTTGCCTTCTAGTCACTTTGCTCAGCGCTACTGCTTGTAGGCAGGCATGACGAGACTCTTCAGTCGACCCATGTTCAGGGGAGGTGGGTTTAGTTTCCTGCACGCCTCGACGTAAGAGAGACGTAAGCGTTAGCATTGTGGGTTTTCTTTTGAAAAACAAAAAAAAAAGATCAGTTAGATGAGTTTCTTCCCGTTACATGGATATAAAACATTCATAGTTTATTAAATGAACATGCCCTCAGACACTGTTTCCTGCAAGATGTTGCGGCAGTGCCCCGGTACCGGGGTCTCTCGGGCATATATTATAGGTCTCAGATATATCAAAATGTATTAAAAACATGTCTCTGAAGTGTTTTGCTCAAAATACCAAACAGATCACCCATTCTAGCCTCAAACCCCTCTATTTCAGCTGTTACCAAAGTGCTGATTCTGGGTCTGTAGCTTTAAAAATCAAAACCACGTCAAGCATTATTTCTGAAACAGTATGGAGCTCAAACTCTTTCTCTCTCTCAGGTTTACCACAAGGTGAGTTCCTTTTTATTTCCTGCTTCTTTACACATGCTCTCTCCAGTACAGGTTAGCTCTGAGTGTTAGCCATGCTAATGTAAACACAGCCGCATATTACTTCCTAAATACGTCTTCTGTTTCTGACAGCAACGTTTCTGATTGGCCCGTGGGTTAAAAGCCCGCCCACATTTTAGTAATGCCGTCATGACCCAGCAAATCTGGATAAGCTCCGTTGTTCCCCCGTTTTTAGAGATGTGGGTACGGAGGAAAAGAGAGAGGGTTTTATTCTCTGACACTTTGTGAGTCTCCTGACACACGGGGACACACCGGGGACACACCGGGGACACACCGGGACACACCAGGGACACACCGGAGACACACCGGGGACACACCGGGGACACATATTTATGTATAAAAGACATAAAAAAGTGCATTTTGCATGACAGGAGACCTTTAAGTCTGAAAAATGTAAATGCGTCTGTTGGCAGCATCGTCCTCTGGTTTGCTGAAGAACTGGGGGTGAAGCTGAATCCATTCGTCATGGAGGACGTGAACACTTTCTTCCTGGTGAACGGGCTGCGGAGGAGGACGTACGCTGTGATCGCTAATCCAAACATCCTGAAGTATAAAGTGTGGAAGAGCGAGAAGGGGAAGTCTGCAAACCAGCTGCTGCAGAGAGCTCTGCAGAAGGTACATTGCACATAAACACAATACAATTGAATAATAATACTAATAATAATTGTAATAAGATTATATATAAAAGTAAAAAAATAAAAAATAATGACAATAATAATGATAACAATTTCATTAATTTACCCAATATCACAAAAGAGAATATTCAATATTGAATAATTGCTACACAGATTTTCTATGAACGTTTTTGATCTATTATTGCTTGGTATTTCTCCTGACCCACAATATGCAGATAACAAATAACAGCTGAGATGTTAATAATATTCCCTCTAGGTGAAAGATGAAGTGAAGGCACATGGCTGCGAAGCTGCGCTCCAGAAGTACGACCACTACTCTGTAAAGGTAAATGTAATTTTAAATAGTAAAAAAAGTTATTTGATGTACTTCCAACGCACGTTTTACAAGGGTAGAACACTTCATTTTTGTTTTGATGAAAGACAGAATATTTAATGACTATAATGTGTTACAACTGTGTTGTTTCAGGAGTATCTGAAGGCAGAAGGTGGCTTGAGTCCGGAGGCGATTAGGATGATCGGAGACTTACTGAACGAACAGAGCCTGATGCACCTCGCTCTGTCCGAGATGATCTACATCGAGAGCGACGTCAGCGACAACACCACGTAACGTTTACTGTTTTACTGAATTCATTTACGGGCTAGAGCAGTGCAGCAATAAGTCTTTAATGAGGCAATTAACCACCTACTGTTCCCACCTCGAAGAAGACAAGCTTACAAAATGTTCAACATTTTTCCTACGACATAAAATACGTCAGTAAATACCCAACTGTTGAATTTAAAAACAGTGCTAACAAGTGTCTAAATGAGACGACTTAACGTCATCACGCACAATATTAGCCGCCTTTAGCTTAGCGGTGGTGACGTGAAGTCATGTGACCGTGCTGTAGTTCCTTTATAGCTCAACATTAGCCGCCTTTAGCTTAGCGGTGGTGACGTGAAGTCATGTGACCGTGCTGTAGTTCCTTTATAGCCCAACATTAGCCACCTTTAGCTTAGCGGTGGTGACGTGAAGTCATGTGACCGCGCTGTAGTTCCTTTATAGCTCAACATTAGCCACCTTTAGCTTAGCGGTGGTGACGTGAAGTCATGTGACCGTGCTGTAGTTCCTTTATAGCTCAACATTAGCCACTTTTAGCTTAGCGGTGGTGACGTGAAGTCATGTTACCGTGCTGTAGTTCCTTTATAGCTCAACATTAGCCACCTTTAGCTTAGCGGTGGTGACGTGAAGTCATGTTACCGTGCTGTAGTTCCTTTATAGCCTAACGTTAGCTTTTGTACTTCAAAGATCATAAATTGGTGTGAATATGTGGAGATTCAAATGTAATCAACATGTGTTTTATTGCCTCTCCAACGGCACACATATAGAGATACCTGGAGGTCACCGATCACATATTACCTACATTTGTGGCTGATACAAGGAGACGAAAAAAGTTTTCTCTTACAGGTACTATGAGGTGACAGGCGGGTCTGATCTGCTGACCGAAGCTTTCCACACTGTCCTCGACGTCCCCATCCTCCTCAACTCTAAGGTGAAACGTATCCGCCAATCAGATCGAGGGGTCATCGTGTCCTATCAGACCAATCGAGAACTCCCTCTTACTGACCTTCATGCTGACATGGTCCTGGTGACCACCACGGCCAAAGCTGCTCTTTTCATGGACTTTGATCCACCTCTGTCCATTAAAAAGATGGAAGTCCTGAGGGGCGTCCACTACGAAAGTTCCACTAAGATCATCCTCACTTTTAAAGAGAAGTTCTGGTTGGAGGACGGCATCCGAGGCGGGAAGAGCATCACCGACGGTCCTTCTCGGTTCATCTACTACCCGAGTCACAGTTTCCCGAAAAATAAGACCATCGGGGTTCTGCTGGCTTCCTACACCTGGGCCGACGACTCCCTCCTCTTCCTGGGAGCGAGCGACGAAGACCTCAAGGTCTGTAAAGTGCCCCGAAAAACATTCCTGTTTGTCATTTTGCAATATACTTATTTATATAAATAGTTATCACCGCAATAAACCGTATTTAATTTACATTATTTAATTTCATATTCTGTTCTTGTACTTATCATATTCTATTGACATGTATATGGACTTCTTGCACTACTTTGTATTTTTGTATTTTATTATAAATGTTGCATTGTTGGAGGAGCTCAGGTCAGAATAATTGCATTGCCATTTCTACACTGTAGCTTTGTGCATATGATGATAAAACCTTTGAATCTTTGATTCTTTGAAAAAGGAGTTGGCGCTGAGAGACTTGGAGCAGATCCACGGGAAGAAAGTGTGGTCTCTTTGCACCGGGGTGGTGGTGAAGAAGTGGAGCGCCGATCCTCACAGCCTGGGCGCCTTTGCTCTCTTCACTCCCTACCAGCATGCAGAATACTACTCCAAGGAGCTGTTCAGAAGTGAAGGCAGGGTGCACTTTGCCGGGGAACACACCGCCTTCCCTCACGCCTGGATCGAGACGGCCATGAAGTCCGCGATCAGGGCGGCTATGAACATTAACAAAAAGACAGCGAGAACTCAACAGCAAGACGAGTTGTAGCCTCTTAAATCCTGCAAATACTAGAGCTCGCTTTAGTTTTAAAGCCGTGATGCAACAAGCAGAAAAACCAAAAGTATAGTAGAAGTACTCAGATCTTGTACTTGAGTAAAAGTAGAAGTACTCAGATCTTCCTTTGTTGAGCTATCAGACTTTCTTTTTCTTTAGTTTGTCTTACTTAAAAAAACGTGTGCTCACTGTCTACCTGACAAAAACATATATTGTAGGAGTATTCTTTTCAAATGTTGATTATCTGGTCTCTCGTTTCTCAGTCAGAGCATTACATAATAATAATAATAAAACTATTAATATATAACAACATTTTAAAAATGGTTGTAATTTAGAACTGTATATAAATTACAGCACTTTTTTGTTGTTGTAATAATGATATGTTTATTCAAACCCAATTACCGGACAAATCAAGTATTTTCTATTTATGTTTATAGTTCTTTGTAATATATTTTTACATATATATATTTAAGAAGTACAATATGAGACAAGCACGGGGGCCAATTCAAAGTGGGCCACGGGCCGTAGTTTAGACACCCCTGCTTTATAATATATTCAAAGATATTGATCTTGAAGGACTAAATTATCTCTGAGTAAAAGAAAAAGAAAAAGAAAAAACCTTCACTGATTAATAATAATACAAAAGATGATTAAATATGAAACTGAAAGCATGTCGTTAGTGAAGGAAATCCAAAATGACTCAATAATATAATCTTTCATCTTTATTTCCTCTTTTCAGTTCACTTTTTGTGCAAAATCTCCAAGAAAAGATGCACACATGTCGATATATTGATGCTGAGTTTTGAATGATCACCAGATCAAATACCAGCTGATTATGATGAGATTGCATTATACTGTAAGTGTTGGAGAAAATACTGTTGTCTCCTCTTTATGTGTCGTTTTAATGCACTGATATCATGTGTCGACCTTTCAGCTTTCTCTTTATGATAGGAGGAGGCAGGGCATTTCAGGTTGTTGATCTTTATGAGGAGACAGGCACATACTTGTTGTCTCCTACAGGTTGTTGATTACATTACATTACATTACATGTTACTTGTTAGACGCTTTTATCCAAAGCGACTTACATACTCAATACTGTGGGCAATCCCCACAGGAGCAATTTGGGGTGAAGTGTCTCAGGGACACAACGACATGCAGTGGGGTTTGAACCTGTGACCCCCTGATCCGAACACCAAGCCACAACCCACTGCACCACACGCCTACATGTTGATCTTTATGAGGAGACAGGCACATACTTGTTGTCTCCTACATATCTCATTTTTTATAAGTCCAGAAGAAGTCGCAGATGACCCGTCGCAGATGACCCGACTTTCCAACACCCACGGCTGATATTAGTGCCACCTCGCTTTACGACTTTGTTGTTATCTCCGTGTTTTGGACTATATAAGCCTGATGTTTTCTGCTGCTCCGTTGAGCAACATACCCCATGTGTGTGAGTTAACCCATATCCTTTGTATGTGATTTAACTCTGCTCCTTCTTGCAAGAATAAACTAGAACCTGATTATTGATTCTCAACCTGGTGTCGAGTGATATTTTCTTAACAGTAAGGAAAGTCAAAAGTCAAAGTCAACATTATTGTCAATCTTTCTGTTTGTGAGATACAGACAGGCAGATCGAATTGCTGTTTAAAACAAAGTAAAAAAGTAGAATAAACAAACCCTGATCTGAAATTATTAAATGAATGAATCAATAAAGTGAACGCAAGTTACGCTTTTTGCATTCAAGATGAGAAAAAAATCCAGAAAACGTTAATTCATTTTGCAGTTTATTTAGTTAAAAGATGACTATTAGAGCAGGCAACATTTAAACTATGTGTCATTTTTATTTGATAATTTCCAAAACATTTAATCTTATACTACCAACAACAATGTGTTGTAATAAACGCCCTGTACATTACGTCACTTGCCCAGGGACACAACAACATGCTGACTGATGCGGGGATTGAACCTGTGCTTCCCTGACCCAAAGATCAATGCTCTATCCCACTGAGCCACAGCCTTCTTGTATATAATTGTTCAATTAACTATAGACAATCACAAATAAAAAATAACATGAATTAAAGGTAGGTAAGTTTGAGAAACCGGCTCGAGATACACTTGTTATATTCCATGGAATGCTCTTAACATCCCGATAGCAATGAATATCTGAAGTGCTTTGACAAAAAATCCATAAAAAAATATCATCTGTGGAAGCTGTAGTACTGTAAAAAGCACGACCAATCATCTGAGCCGGCCCGGCTAAAATAACTGGATGGCCTACCTGCCTGTCAGCCTTCCATCTGTGCACAAACTTATCTTGTGCCCTCATTGGTCATGTGCGCGTTCGTGTGTGTTGGAGGAGGGGCTCTGTAAGGAAGTGGCAGATTTTCTCCGGTTGTGTATTTTCAAATTCTAGCAATCTCGAGCCGGTTTCTCAAACGTACCTACCCCACCTTTAAATACAACAAATCATAATTTTCACAGATTTATTTTTTAATATTTTTCGTGTTGAATTCTCATTTCTTCCCAAAAAATGTATATTGAAAACAAATAATCATTGTTTTTGTGAAATGTTATTCTTTACTGAGTGAAAGTTTGAATGCTTCGTAATTAAATACATGTATGTTTTTTGTTTACAGTTTTTTATATATATTATTGAGTGAGGGTTTGTTTAAGAATTTCTTCCCCAAAAATAAAAATAAAAATATATTTTCACCTATTTCTAAAAAATATATATATACTTGTTTGTGAGGGTTTGAATACTCTCAATTAGCATGTCTTCCAAAATTAATTAAAAAAATACATATCCACTGATTTTTAAGTGCATGTTGGATAAGATTGCAAGTGTTTTTTTATTTAAAGGGGACCTATCATGCAAAATGCACTTTTGTACGTCTTTTATACATGAATATGTGTCCCCGGTGTTCCAGGGAACTCACCAAGTGTCAGAAAACACAACCCTCTCTATTTTCCTCCATACCCAAATCTCTAAAAAAGGGGCTGCAATGGATCTGATAAAAACTGATCCAGATTTGAACACTTTACTGACGTCAGGACGGTGGCACTACGGCTATTGGGCCAACTCTCCACCTATCAGGGGAATGTGGGGTTGGGCCACAGCCGGCCATTGCCGCTCGAAAGCGCTGGAGACGCTGTAGTACATATGCCAGGCCTGTAAGTGGCGCTGTAGTCTGCCACAAAAGCAGCGAAGAAGACTTCCCGCGCATGGTTACCATGGTTACCCTTCTGTTTATTCTCCGCTGTGGCTCTTTTTCTCCCTCCCCGAGGCAAGCGTTTGCTCCCGCTGCTTTAATTCAATGCAATCCCTCCCCGTCGAGGCAAGCACTGTAATTCTCTCCGGTTAGTCCACCAGCAGATGACAAACACCCACCTCTCCGCCTCTTCCAAGGAACGAGGGGACCGTGCGGCAGAGTTTCAGTTAGGTTTTCTTTCGCCAGTCAAGATGTCCGTTAAAGTTTAAATCTTCCGGACAAAATTAGAAAAGTGCCGGTCAAAGGTCTTCATTGTTATTTATTGAGCTTTAAAACAAATGAATAACGACTCTATAGGCCTATAATAATATAATAAAACACGGAGGACGGAGATCTCTTTTTCTCCCCCTCTTCTGACTTCATCAGAGCACGGCTCCCCTCTCCTGCAGGGGGGCGTGGTCAGCTGCAGCTCACAGAATCAGCCCCGTGCAAAAACAGGGCTAGAGAACAGCACATAGAGCGAAATGAGGTCAATTTGACCCACTGCATGTTTAATTATCCAAAAATGGTCAGAAGCCCCAAAATCCAGATTTTTTTTTTGTACATAGTTTGTACCTTTTATTACTATCAATGAAATCAATATTTAGTGCAACTGTGTTATTCACCTCTCACAGATCATGGTTCCATTAGAATAAGTCACTAGTTTTTCACAAAACATATACATTCAAACACATTTTTCTATTTTCTTTTTTACATTGGAAAAACCTTGATATAGAATACATTAGTTTTGATCACTTTAAAACTAATTAATTTGCTCTGAAAGGCAGAGACTGATCACACTGTGTTCTTTGCAAATTGCAGGGAAAAAGCACATTGCACAAATGTTGCACAACCACCTCATTGTTGTATGTAACCTCTGCATTTCTGTTCCAGTAACTGTAAAGCTGTCAGCGGTCTCCAAGTCTGACTTCTGATTTACAGTTTGAGTACGTGTGTGCCGTCTCCACATCTTGAGGCTGAGATACTTCACAATTTTTTTTGTCTAGAACAGTATTCAGCTCTCTACGACAGACTTATAATCCCCTTCGTTGACACCATCATGTAATTTAACACCATTCTTTAAATAAATTATAATTATGTCATACAGTTGAATTGTTTAGGTCCCTGGTTCCCAACAATAGGGACCAGAGCCCCACTGAGGGCCTCCACTGCCAGGTGTGGGGTGTCTGTCTGTCTGTCTGTCTGTCTGTCTCTCTCTCTCTCTGTGTGTGTGTGTGGAAAATTACGATATATATATACCGTATATCCCATTTGAGCCCTCTGACCCCTTCTAGCCTCCACTTTCATGTGTGTGTGTGTGTGTGTGCTTTTGTGTGTGTGTGTGTGTGTGTGTGTGTGTGTGTGTACATTTCTGACCCCTTTTAGCCTCCACTTTCACTGCCGGATCAGATTGACCCGAATACCATCTCTGTGATATAGACATGTAGGGGGGATTCCAAATGCATGACATGAACAGTTTTCATTTAACTTGTTTATTGCACTAATTAAGGTAAGTAGAAGAAGTTTTATACAAAAAAAATACTTGAAAGTATTTTTCGTAGATTTTCAAACTTTCAAACGGGTCAATTTGACCCTGAATGTAACACAGGAGGGTGTAAGACACCAAGCTGCTTGTTTAAGGTCCTGCCCTCTGAGGCCAGAGGGAGACTCTGGGGATATAAAGGAGGGTTTTATTCCACCTCAGCTCTCTGTGACGGCACCGTTTGTTGTTTAGGCTCCAAAAAAGGTAGGAATACTTTTATTTGTTATTAAGTTTATTAAAATACTTATATATTATCTGCAAGATGTGTCTTAGATTAATTTGTAAAGATTACACACCTGTTGTAGTAGAACTTTTCTTGAAGAAATGCTCATTATTAGAACATAATGGGGAATGATAAGTGTTCAGTATAGTGGTATAATGCAGTATAATAATAGTGTAATGTTAGGGTGTGTACACTGTCAGAACAGTGTTTCCATCTGAATGAGTGTGTAACTTCATGTGGAGAAGAGTAGCGGACTCTGCTGCTAAGGCTACTGCACATGTCTGTATATGGATCCCACTCTCTCGCTCTGAGCATGTTTCTGTATGTATATGCGTGTGTCAGGTAGGGCTGTACCCGAATATCCGAATATTTGTTCGTTGGAGTACTATTCAGGTTTCAATTTCGTTATTCGGATATTCGTTTTTTTTTATTTCTTACATCTCTTATATTGGAGTGTTCAATCAATTCAATTTGGGTTTTCAATCAATTCAATTTGGCAGCCCCGCTGCACTGCGGCTGCCAAAATGAATTGATTGAAAACTCCAAGATAAGAGATGTAAGAGCTTGTGCCTCTTCGGGGGGTGCTAACACTTAACCATAAACGTTATCGTTTACTTTCTCCGTCTTTATATGTAGATATTCTGCCCTTGCAAGAATATTTTTGGATTGCAGGCTTGGCAGATAGCTTAACACGGAAATATACACCCAGGAGACAGCAGCTCAGTTTTGGATGTTTACTTAATAACTTCCATTTTCATTTCCATTTTGTAAAACTGAAACACAAACAAAATACACAGTCACGAGACGTTGTCGCTTGAAGCACTAAATACAAATAAACAAGACTAAACAAACATTCCAAACAGCAGAGTATCTGTTAGCATAAATGCTACAAACATTTCAACTGCTGTTCACAGGCTAACAAGGTTAGCATCAGTCATTGTTCTACATGTTTTTTTAATATATTCAGTTTAAATGTGCAACTAAGACAATATAAGATTTGGTACTTACAGATATAAAGACCCTAGGATTTGAGCAAGGATTTTGTTGACAGGAAACAACCCATGTGCTCCATAGACAGCCAGAAACAGGAAACTACGGCAAGCATTTATGGACACACAGTGCAAAACCCAAAACCCTCCGTCACGTTGTTTCCATAGCAACAACAACTTCCTGTCAACAGTGCTAACTCTCTTTCAAAATAAAAGCATGGCCATACAAAATAGGAAGCCAAGCCAAATTACACTTGGCACTGACATATACTGCAACGAAAGTAACAAACACAATGCAATATCCTTTTCAATTTCAAAGAACACAAATTGGGTTATACATTAACAAATAACTATAAAACAGCAATACTGTAGAATAACAAAATGAATGCCGTGAATAAACCGAAATACACGTGTTGAAGCGGTTCGCTGCTGATTACGCAAAATAAATGCAAACGTCTGCAGAAAGAGTTATGGTCACGTGTGCGGAAGTGTAGGTAAATGCAAACGTCTGCAGAAAAAGTTGCTGACTGG